GACAGTAACCTGGACGAAACAGTCAATACTCTGCAATACGCTGACCGAGCACGGGAAATCAAGATTAAACCAGTTGTCGTTGTCAACCAGGATCCCCAGAAGCAGGAAATCAACAAGCTAAGGCAAACAATTGAAGAACTCCGACTTCAAATAGTGTCCAACCAGATTGGCACATGTTGTCCTCCTACACATTCTGAGCTGGTAGAGAGGAATTAACTATTTATTGAGAAGAATAAGAAGCTAGGAGCGAGTCTTGACAGCGCCTTCATGCAAACCACTTCGCTTTTGGAGCGTACGCAGATTGCAGAAACAGCTCGAGACAGACTGACTGCAATCCTCAACAATTTCAATGATGCCTTCAATATCACCCGGACCTGAACAAATATCAGAAAGCAAACATCCAATAATACCCCCGTCGCAGCGAACCTGCAGGCTAAGTGAATTTCAATATGTCTGGTTGTATTTTTACAAAAGTATTTCCATAAACAAGACATATTTATTTCCCATATAAATAACATTTGATTTTTTAGTACTTAGGTTTACTGTTACAGGAAAGATTAAAAACGGTTTTATGACCAAATGTCAAACCCTCTGTTAAAGTTGTTTGATCAGCTGTTTGTCTCTCACAGAGGATCTGTTCTGTTTTCCCTCCACCATGTTAGATACGACTGCTAGAGGAGCCTGTGAATCATAGGCAATAAAACTCTCTCTTTCCATGTCTTGCAGTCTCTTTAGAAGCATTATTACTTTCTCGTTGAGTTTGGATTCCGTTTTCTCATGGTTGTCAATCTCTTCCTTCAGTAATGCCTCCTTCTCCATCAGTTGTTACTGGAGAGCTTCATAGCTATTCCGCAGCTCTTGGAGGGCTGCTTCCTTTTATGCCTTGTCTTAGCGAATTTCCCTATAGGGAAATACCGGAGCTATTACCGTAGTTGGTACAAACAATTTTATGTATTGATGTGTCATTGTACGGTAAAGTTTACAGAGAAAATTTAAAAAAATTACATTGGAAATTCCTCTGTTATTCTTACGGAGAAAAAGAAAACTGTTGTGTATGTATATATATGTATATGTATATGTATGTATGGATATATTTCAAATCAAATTTGGCAAATCTATCTATTTCCAAATAGATAAGTTTGCCAAATAATTATTAAAATACATCCATAAACAAGCCAACTACAAAAGTTTTTTTTCCTCTGTAACAGTAACATAGGAATTTTCAATGTACATTTGTAAAAGTTTTCTCTGTAACATTTAATTGTACAACAACACTTCAATATACAAAATTGTTTGTGCCAACTACGATAATAGCTACCGGTACTTTCCTATCGGGAAATTTGCTAAGACAAGGAGGCAGCCCTCCAAGAGCTGCGGAATAGCTTTGAAATTCTGTAGGAAAAACTCATGGAGAAGGAGACATTGCTGAAGGAAGAGATTGAAAACCATGAGAAAACGGAATCCAAACTCAACGAGAAAGTAATAATGCTTCTTAAGAGACTGCAAGACATGGAAAGAGAGAGTTTTATTGCCTATGATTCACGGGCTCCTCTGCCTCTTTTAACCTTGCATGGAACGTATCCAGCAAAGCAATAGGTCTACTGTACCCCCCAATTGTAAATTTATTAACATTACAAACGTCAAAGTACCTATTTACACGTTGGGTTTGTGAACTCTATATATAATATTTATCCATACGGCTTTCGTAATCACTTAAATATCCCAAGATTCCTGTAACAGAAAAATTCCAAAAAATATCAATATCCCGACTAGTGTTAATAAACAAAAGAAATAGCGGACAAACCTATGGTGGACCTGTATCCGATCAAAAATTGTTGACCCTTATCAACATCATAAAAAATACATGTTAATATGACTCCAAAAACCTGTGGATCATCTATTTATTTTAATTAAATTTGAGTGGGGACCCTGATCTATAAGGTAGTGTGTTTCATCCAAGATTCTTTCAACACTTGACTGCCACTTAAAACTACTGTACTTTTTGTGTGCAATAAATAGGCTTACAAGGTGTAATTATCTGCATAGAGATTTCTCTTTTCACCAATTATAAGTAAAATGTGTCCAAACTAGTAATTTTACTTAATGTAGAGAACTGAATTACAATTTTGCTGGTTTACATTAGATATATAAATATAATTCAATAAACCATCAAACCCAACCACCATTTTCACTTCACAACCAGCCAAACCATTAAATTTATCTAAACAAACCTAGAACCTAAGTTAAAAAAGCGTTACTACCAATAACCAGTGAATTAAAATAATTGGAGGTATATTACGATGCTTGCAAGATGAAGGGGTCTAAATACATATGATGTACTTACACCCCTTCATCTTGCAAGCGACGATTTTTAAGCTATAACAACACACAAGAATGGTAACATATTACTAAGTGTAATTAAATTACTATATCACTTAAATAATAACAAATTATATTTTTTATTGAATACAGTAGACCCTTGATAATCCTTGCATCGGTTTAACATACTCCACATAGCCAACTCCGATAAATAAGTGAATCCCTAATAAGGTTAAACTTGATAATTTAAACATCAATGTTTGGTAACAAAAGGGGAAAAAATTGAAAAACCACTAATTCAAAGTATTAGAAGCACAAGTATTCAGTCAATTTGTGGTTTATTTATATCATTTTTTAGCTATATTTTTTGCATATTTTCCTTTTTTTGCAAGATTCATTGCTGTTGTTGTTGTTGTTCATTGTTGTTGTTGGGGTAGGAGAGTAGCGGAGTAGAAAACAATGGTCTTGACTGGGATATGTTGCCAAGCGGTTTAGATAGTGATGTGGGCCGGGAATATTCCCAGTGGGAGGGAACTTATAAAATGGGAATATTGCCGGGAATATTTCTTTGGCCCAAAACTGGGAATATTCCCAAAAATTGGGAATTTATGAAAATTTTAAAATTCTGAACGTTTTAACACATATTGACGGTTAAAGAACCTTAAAACTACGTTACCTAGGCCTATAGTAGCCTAAATTCTTACAACCAAGAGTTGTCATTCCATGTAGTACATTTCTGTAAAAAAATTTTGGAATTTGTGAAACTGAATGGATTTTAATTATTGCATTCCAAGAAAAGAAACAGACTTTTATCTGAGTGAGCAGCAAAACTGACAGTTCTTTCTTACAACTGGAAACTCATGAATGCTCAACCTCTAAGAGAGAGTAAGCAAGCAGAAGGCAACCCAGAGGAAACAGGACAGGAAGAAAATGAAGACATCCTGTCCCTTCTCACAATCGAAGAAGGGGATGAGGATGAGATTGACTTGACAAGTAACAATAAAGACGATTTTTGTGGATTTGGAGATGTAGATGACGAGAAGGACGAAGGAAATATAATTGACATAGAAAGTGACAGTGACTAGGAAACATAAAAATTAATACAGAAAGCAAATATGTCATTTCAGTATTTCCCATCTAACCTTTTCGTTTTTAATATGTAGTCTTGATTTAATACACTAAATTAATTTTTTTTTCAAATAATATTTTTATTTCCTGTGTATTTACTAGGTTATGTTTGTTTCTGATTATCTATATATACTTATTCGATACCCAAGCAGGTTTTTTGTGACAATTAGCCCTACTCCTCCGAAACTACTGAACCAATAGATATGTTTTTGGTGTCATTGGAAAGAGCGTAACGTGAAGTTGTACAGGAAACTTTTTTTAGGGAAATAATTAGAAAGTGAGGCCCTGGGGCCCTTTTAAAGTTTCGTATTCCTCCAAAAGATTAAAATGGAAGGTCATGACTGCGATGCGGAAGAAGGTCAGCCTTAAATAAAATAAATAAATGTTCCAAGTTTGATTAAAATATTTCCATAAACAAGCAAACTACAACATTTTACAATATTCTCCATAATAGCATGGGCATTTTAAATTTGCTATTTTTTTAATTTTTTTAATAAACAATAACACTAATAAATACTAAAACTAAAACATTTTGGTATACTAAATTATTTGTTTTTTAGTAGGCCTACTTTAAAATGGTCTAGAGATAATTGGGGAATTTTGTGTTTTGAGGGTAAAAAATAAGAAAACCCATTTTTTACCCCATAAAACCCTGTTCCCATGGTCCGATCATGCTGGTTTGCTACCTCATTTAAGTTTATCCCGCCATACATCCTCAAACCAAATTTAATCAAAATCAGAGAAAAATTACTCAAGTTATCACGTTCACTGACATATATAGGCTACATATGTCCGTGTATATATATATGTCCGCCATATATACATGTCATTTACGGACATAAAAATTTGAACAAACAGTGTTTTTGGCCTCTAAGGACATCAAAACGAAAAAGTATATCGGTCCCGGCTCCAGGTCTTATCATATTATGTGCTCGTTGGTCTTACCTTGCCAACTACGGTAAAAGCTACTTCCCTCTAGGGAAATTTGCTAAAAGAAAACTGAATTAACACTGTGCTGCATTTCTTTGTAATAATTGAAAGAGCCTATTTGCAAACTATGGAAACGTAGGAAAGTCATAGAACACCACCAAGGAGAAGAAATAGAAATAATGTTTTTTAAGAATTTATAATCATTATTATGGACAACCTAATGCGGCTATGTGTAAGGCTATTTGTAGAAAACACTAAAAAACAAGATCAACTTTTGAAAAATGATAAGATATTTACAAGAAATGTTGATTATATCGATCGGTTATATAGATCTTGAGTATTTCCATAATTCTTGAGGCGAATCTTTTAAAGTCATCAGAAATTATGACTTTTATTAGTTTTAAAATAACACCTGTAATACTTAGCAATAGCTTGAATTCGAGCAACAGGTACACTAGTTGTATTAAATCAACATTTTTTGAAAATAGATTGTTTGGGTTTTATTTAAAACAAACTACCACAGTGACCGATTTGAGCAATTTAGCTTATAAAATTATAAATTCCCAGTTATTTATTTCAATTAAAACTTTGTATTACAATATATTTAAGTTTTTGTGGTTGATTTAACCTTATAATTATGGCTTTTAACTATTAAGTAACAGTTTTTAAACCTACCTTGCTAATTAAAAATAAATTCCCGGGAATTTATGAATTTTGGGAATATTGCCGGCAATATTCCCTGGGAATATTTCCGCGATATTAAATTCCAGGGAATTTTACATCACTAGGTTTAGATGCCAGTTTCCCGAGTATTAGTTTCGTTGAATCCATTTGTTATACTTTAATTTTCTAAAAAATTTTAATATCTCAAATTATAAACAAACTACTCACGTTATTTGGAGTCTGATTTCATCAAGTTCTAGAAACGGAGAGAAAAATTTGAATCCAAGAAGTTTTCGAATCAAGAAAGTTCAAAAAAAAGACATCCCACTTTGCATAGACTACCGGTAATGACGATGTTACTGGGAACACTGAAGTCGCGCAAAGAATGGGCAACAAACGAGAGGCAAACTGATTATCTATTGAATGTTAGAACATCAAGATGTATTTTCTATTTGCAATGCTAGACAAATCTTTTTCCTCATCTCTTTCCCACAAAATACTCGGTAAATTGTTTACTCCCAAATTATGCATGTCTAGGGATGGATGGGATTATACTTTCTTGTGAAGGAAAAGATTTGCATTTCCTTCCTGATTTTCAGGACGAAAAGGGGACAGGATTTTCCTTCCTCTGCAACAAGGATAACTTTAGTTTGTTTTTAAAATCTTGGGTAAAGATTTTGCCATATTTGACAAAAAAATGACTGTAATCTGTGCTCAGGGCACTTTTGTTACTTTTTCCCACAATTGCACCGACATTATTTTTACTTGTAACCTCATCAAAAATCCTAACAATTAGTTGGAACAAGTACTTAAGATCGGGAATATATTTTGCCAGACAATTTTGAGAGGTCTTCATCCCTAATTTTGTTAACTGAGATGCACTGTATACAGAGATTCCTGTGTACATATGGCTAAGTTACCTTAGATAATCTAGAGTCTGCTGTAATTGCTAATTGGATTGACTTGATTGATTAAATAAAATACTTATTAGTTATATAGTATTCTTTAAATCATAACATTGTTAAAAAAAAACAAGCATGAGAAATGTTTTTAAAACTCACACTTTCCTAGCTAAATATACATTTTACATGAAAATAGACACAGAAATTATTGTTAATACCCTTAATACTGTAACATATCCAACAGTAGTTATAAAATCAGTTTTCCGTTAGTCGTTAGCTGTGTGAACGGAATATAACCAATCGTTGCAACTGTTTATTACATTTACTATTCTTGATTTCAGGTCGTTGCCAATCGACATCCCACAGATAAAAGTCTTTTAACATCTCCAAGCGCCAAGAGGAAACTTCAAATTATGTGATTTTTAGAGTCATAACGAATTGTTGCAATAAATATATTTGTTATGTTTTGTACAGTAGTGTTAGCTTTAAAACCCTTTTACTACGCATTTTTTTAAGCCACTGAATGGATGTTTTTACACAAAGATGTACAGTATAGAAACCCAGGCAAACTATCCTTTCAACTGTCCCCGTTTTAAACAAGTCAATCTAATTACAGAAATAGAGAAGGGTAAATAATAATTTACTTGAAATATTTTACTAAAGAGCGCATAAATGAATAGCAACAATTCATCATAAGGGAAATCGCCTGGAACACCTTATTGCTTTACTTAGATACACATTTTTGATCAAAAGTAAACAATATGACACAGTAATGCATAATTTAACACTAAATTAAACGGAACTGACTTGCATGGATCGCGTTGGTTCCAGTTCGATCGTGGATCCACTAGACTTGCGCAAGTTGACGGGTGTTGATATTTCCGTTCCGTTTTCTCCCGAGAGTGGAGTCAGCTCCGTAGCCAAGTCGCCGTTCTCTTCTTCGCAGAGGTCTCCGGAACCGTTCACTAACGGTTTAGACTTGGGATTGGAACTCGAGGATTTTATGGTGAGTTTCTCCTTTGTCTTCTTGCCGAAGTTGACGGCCATCTTGGGTAAGCTGCGTCGTGGAGCTATCTCGGGAGTTGACTCGCCTTTACTACCTACCCCCTCCTCCTTCTCTTCCGTGATCGCTCCGAGAGCTGTGGAATCTCCTTCGGCCTTGGCCATCTGGATTGGAATGTCATCTGGAAAACAGATATTTGACAAATTACAACTTTTGCAGTTATGCATCTTGGCACTAGGATCACTGAAGTGTAGTTAGTTGACCAAACTAGGGCAATTTTACCAGCGGTTTGTGGGTTTTATCATTGAGATATATCCAAACTGTTATGGGACTTCTCTAAGACTACCAAGGACATTGTTGAGCCCTAGTAACTTCTAAAACAAGCTATCCGCAAGCAAAGTTTGCCTAACTTTAATCAACGTTTCAATGTAAACTGATAAACGCTCGCTGACTGCCTCATGTAAATATGTATGGCATCTTTGCAAACTTACCCAGTTTAGTATTCTGCACAGTTAAGTAAAAGTGTCGTAACAAAAAGTGGATTTTGAAAAAACTCAATTCAAAGTTCACTATATTGCTGAATTTTCCCCTGGGGTCCTATTTTACTTTTATTTTTACCAGTCGATAGATACATTTATGTAGAAGATCAGACTTTGGGGCTCCGCCCCAGTAGCTCTGGAGTTTCCCATGTAACCTTATGAGCATTCATATTTAAAAGGAATTAATGAATCTAAACAGCTGTTTCAGTTAAACAAGTTGGTTCTATAATGTGCAATAGCATTATAAAGTTACAAGGTATATCAACAGGGTGCAGCATTATTAATTTTTTGTTTGAATGTATGAAAACGGCTAATTTGAATTGTTTATGGCAGAAACCCCATAGTCAAATTTTTGTTAGTTTTTATTATTTTGACTTTTTAGTAGGCCTGGTATGAAATATATATATCTGGGAAAGTGCATTACTGATCAAGTCAATGACTTGGATGGAAGGAACTAATATTATAGATATGAATGATTGGAGTATGTCAATAACGTGAAAACTACTTTACCAATTGAGCTGATTTTTTCCATTAGTAGAGCCAATATAACCACAGGCTTATTGGACATAGTCATTTTTTATTTTAATACTCTACTAGGGCTCTGACCAGACAGCTTATTAAGTCCAATATTGTTCTTCAAAGAAACCATGAAAAGCCTATTGAAATGCCACCCGAATCGGTACGGCAATCAATAGTTTTATTAATACTTATGAAGGCAAACGTAGTAAGTAAATAAAGTGATAATAAAAACACATGTCCTACTTGTGGAAGTTATGCTAAGTAACATATGTATTTATGTATTTGTAGATAGAGTGCCATATCAATGAATACAAACTGTCGGACTGAATTTTTTTTGCCTAAATGAGCTTGGTGCGGCCGCTGCTAGCATCGCTCGCACGTTGGCGACGCTACTCTATCTCTCTCTCTCTCTCGCTCTAAGCAAATCCTTTGACTCACTCTCTCTCACTCAGTTAGCTGACTTGGACGCGTACTCGCGATAGTCTACCTAGCGGCCGTGCGTTAACTATCCAAAATTCAAATATTTACAGGCTAAATTTTTTACAAAGGCATTGCGCTTCTTAAAGGGGTTGTATTCGTTGGCCATACTACTAAGCATAACTGCAGCATGTGATTTTGCTAAGCTAGGAGACAGCAAATCCAGTGGAGATCCTGCTCTTTTGATTAGTAGTAAGTACTAACGACAGTTTTGCTTTTAGTCCTCGCCACCCTAAGTTGAGGCAGCCAAAGGCCGCACTAGATATACGCCGTGCGGCCTTGGGCCGCCTCAACTTAGGGTGGCGAAGACTATAGTAAATGCCTCAAATTCAGTGTACATACGATCAATGCTATGCTTATATCTTTAAAACGGCTGCAGATACAGCATTTTCGACTAGTCCAGCGTGTTCCTTGTGAAAATTTCCAACCACATCATCAACTGACAAAGGATTTAAATAGGAGTTGGTTCTCTTCCTTGAGGTATTTAAGTACAAACCTTGATTTATGTTTGGCAAAAGCATTGATTCACCTCGGCTACTATTTGTCCAGTTGTTTCGTAATGGTAGGATACAGCTACAGTAGTAGTGGGAGAAGTTAAAAACACAGTACAGTAGAACCTCTTTAATCCGCAATAATTGGGACCAGGGGTAGTTCAGACTATTGAATAGTTCGGATTACAGAACATAGGGTATTGTTGTTTTTACATAACAATAGCTAAAACATGGCTAAAATTGATCAACATTATTTTGGGAAAAGTGAAAAAAATGTTTTATAAAGTAAAATACAGTGTTTATTTAATACAGTAGTAAACATGGTGAATAAACAGTACTGTAAATTAAATACAGTATACAATATAGAACTGCTGTACTGTGTATAGAGTACAGCAATGAGGGGTTCGGATTAGTGGACGTTCGGATTACAGGGGTTCGGATAAAAGAGGTTCTACTGTACTGGTAAAAGATTTAAAATAGCTCACTCGGCCAAGCTCGTTGGGAGACTTACAATTTCAAAAACCCCTCGTATTAAAAAACCGTTTTGAATAAAAACTGCAACAGGGATTAATTTTTATAAAATTTACTAAAAATGACTTTATTCTTTCCTAAATGAATATCAACTGTGTGTTACTTAACGAATATTTACTGTGCCGTGCTATCTCTGCTTTACATCAAAATTTTGGAAATGATAAACCATTTCACTATTTTATAATGCAGCAGAATTGCTTCAATACTGAAGAAACATTTGTATCCCTAATATGTTTTTTACTATGTACAAACAAATATCCGTTGTAAGAGTAAGATATTTATTTCATTTTCAAGCTTATGACAATTAATTACATTTTTTGTAGCTTTTTGACAGTTAAGTTCATTGGACTTGATAATGTTTTGGCTTGGGAATGATGCTCTTGCTAATCACCCCTAAACATTTTCTTCCTCGGAGAATTATCTGAGAAAAATAACGACGGGTGAGATTTAATCCTGTTCTAGCTAATCTACTTCAAGAAAGTTAAAATACCTCTAACACGTCAAACCTGCAAACTACGCAAATTTGCATTTGCCTGATTGGATTTTTACTTGATTAAATGTTTTCTTAAAAATTTCAGATTCATTCCCTTTTTAGATATTTTCCTTAAAAATATCTAATGTGACTCTCCATGTTGAGAAAGGGGCCAGTGGCCTCGAAATATCCAGTGCTTGTTTTGTGTTTTCTTTTGTGTTCAGTAGTGAATGAAGTGGGATGCCTACATTTCTTAAGGTGAGCCTGCTTATCCTATCCTTTCTCTCCCCTATTCTCAGGCAATAAGCCCTTTTTTCTCAAACCTAACCATCATTCCCTATTTAAATAACATTAGGTTCAACGAGTTAGGTTTTTGTTACAGGAAAGGTAATCAAGTGTTTTTAAGGGAAGTGTTAATACCTAAATGTCTAAATACAGGAACAGTTTGAGTTTAAATTCAATCAGACAAATGAAAATTTGCTTATTCTGCAAGTTTTCTGCGATGGGGGTAATTAATAGAGCATCATTAATTGATAGCCGACAAATGAAAGGTGTAAGCCTAGAAACACACTCTAACTTACTCACTTGACTTATATACATCTTATTCAAACTTTCCTTAAGTGTTACAAAGCCTCTGTGCTATTTAAATATTTCCCTCAGCCATTTTTAAGATTGGCATGTCAAAAATTAAAAAAATAAAGGATCAATTATTCTTTGGAATTGCAATCAATCTAATCATACGTTATCTGATTGCTTGGTTGAGTTTTGCGAGTTAACTATGCACTGACCTGGAAGTTTCTTGGTGCGGAAGGAAGCATTGGTGATCATAGACTTTGACACAGTAGTGGTGGTAGTGGCTGGAGAAATGGCTAAACTGATACCCATAGGAGCATCACTGGGTTGACCTGCAACACATTTCAAAGTATTTTCTAATAGAGTGCATTTATTTGTTTACTTACAAACGTTTTTTTTTACCCTATTCAAATTTAATCCAAATTTTAGAATCAAAAGAATTTACTACACCGCATTGTTTTCTCACTTTACAGCACAAGCGTGGTAAAGTAACGAACCATTGGGGTTCAGGTATTGAGAGAAAAAATAAGTAAAATTGTAATGCTTTGATTGCCAACTTATCAGCAGGTAACGACCAATTCAATTGTTGATGCCGATCTCTGCCGTAAACTCATACATTGTTTCCTTAACCTAAGGCGAACTCAACAATTTGCTAACCAACAGTTGCAAGGTTTGTTGAAAGATTTTGAAAATGACGACACAAGTTACGTAAACCTATATTTATACTGAGAGAATTCAGAACCTTAAAGACAATATTTATGAACATTCTACGGAACTCCAGGGTTTCAGAAGTGTGTTTATCTTGATTGGTCGCCCTTTTGATAAAGTTGAGTTACCTGAGTGAATGAAGTGGGCCGAGTTCTTGATGGCGTTGGTGACTAACAGAACGTCCGTATAACACTGGTAACACGCTCTCTGGTGGATATCTTCTATGGCTTGGACAGCCATGTAACCGTGGTCATTGTACCTGGCAAACAACACCATCAGTAGGACGTTGAAATTATAAGACTGGGACGGTGGCGTCGTCCTGTAATCCAGCTACTAGGAGGTCACGAATTGTGGATATTTATAGGCATACACTGTGGGTACGATACTTCCTGGGTGTGGATTAACGTTTGCACTAGTGAATACTACGACTATCCGCAGTACTATCCTGATAATTAGACCCATTTGTTAGTACCAAGATAAAAATGTGGTCCGGATTCCACTTAACTGTAGGTCCCGTAGTTGCCATTAGCTGTATGGGCTAAAAACAACAAATCCAATTAAAAAGATACATACTCAAGTATAAATTTACCAGTACAAAATACAGAAGCCCTAGGAGTTTTGGGTATATTATCAATTTTGGATATTTTTTTAGGAAAAAATATGGTTTTCAAAAAAAGTTATTTGTGAGTGTGGATATGTAAGAGCTACAAGCATGTGGTCAGATTTTGATCAAATTTAGTATGTGAGTACTGAGTAATACATAGTAAATCCAGGTATTTTTCATTTTCTAAACTTTTTTATTTTTAATGGTGATTTTCCCATAAAAACAAAAAAAAATCAATCTACAAAAATGGGTCTAAAATCTTGGTTGAAAATTTAGTAATGCTTAAGTCGTTTTAACCATCCCCAAGCTCAAAAAGTTTCAGTTCAGAAAGTATGTTAATTTTTATGATTTTCCCTGTAAAAAAATTAAAAAAAAACGTAGAGCTACAGACTACACCTGTATCCAATGTGTTTTGCTTACTTAAGGAGAAGGATGTTCAGTTTTACTGTGTAGCTGATACCAAATGTATATAAGTAAGTATAAAGCATTTTGCTAATAGGTTGGTACCAATTATTGGTGTAATGGGTGTTTTGGCCCGTTTTCTCCCTACTCACTCACATTGCGTAGTAGACACTGTGCAGAAGCTGTTGCAGCATCTGGGAAGACACTGGGATTCTGGGTAACACTCTCGGTACCTCAGTCCCGTATGAAACTCTCTTGCCAGCCTTGCTGAACCCCTGCGTCACCAGCCTACACAGAACACCAGCGTAAAATTATACATCAGTCTGTTAAAGATAAACATGTTTGAATTTTTAACTTAAACCAGAGTCCCACAATTTGGTCCGGTTGGGGAGAAAAAGTAACTGTATTTCGGTTACAAAAATTATGTTACACGTTCTGAAATACTAACCAGCATGTCTAGTCAACCGGGAAGCCGAGAAAACTGGAAATCCTACAAGAATGTTGTGTCTGTGAGATGTACACAAACTTGGTATGAAGCCAGAAAATTTTGAATGATCACCGATAACCTATTGGTTGGGCAGTAATTCATTAATTGCATTCCGTTAGTTCTCTTTTAAGGCTTTCTTGTAGTACAAAGATTATGTTCGAGGAAGTACACATTGGTATTGCCATGACTGCACATGTTCTTGATTTTGCCATGACTGTGGAAGGTGTTCACAATTTCGCCCTGTCCAGAAACATGTACGAGAATTTGCAGTGACCACCATAGAAGTGAAATCGACTCACCATCTAGTGAGTCGATGGCTCAGTCGGTAGCGTCGCTACCGAGGGCTAACCCCAGAAACGGTCAGACTGCTAACACCAGAAAACCCATCCACCCCAAAATTATATATTCTCCCCAAAATACACAAAGATACCTTCCCACCACCAGGTACACCAATTGTCTCAGGATGCGGTTCTCCCACAGAAAGAATTTCGGCTTATGTGGACACCTATCTCCAGCTTATAGTACAAAATCTCCCATCATATATCAAAGACACAACAGACTTCCTTCTTAGACTTTCTTCAGTTACAAACAAGCTCACACCTAACTCCATCCTAGCTACAATAGATGTTACATCCCTGTATACCAATATCCCCCACGCCCACGGACTTGCTGCAGTTGAACATTACCTTGACAAAAGAACTAAAGGTGAACTCCCTAAGACTTCCTTTATCATCAGCCTCACCAAATTCATCCTTGAAAAGAATAATTTTCAATTCCTGGACCGCCACTACTTGCAGATAAAAGGGACTGCCATGGGTACCAGGATGGCCCCCTCATACGCCAACTTGTTTATGGGAAAACTTGAAAATGACTTTCTGCAAAAACAGACTCTACAACCAACTTGTTGGTTCAGATACATATGTGACGGCCTGGCATATTTGCCTCATTTTGTTGTAATTTGTTAACTTTGAGCTTAAGCTGGTTGGCCTTACTCCCTAAACCTGGCCCGTTGGCTATCACCGAATATTTGCTAGGTTGATGTGTCAACCGTATTTAGCAATATTGAATTTTATTTAACTTCACATAAGTCTCCAAGTGAACCTTGCAACTCATACTCCAATTCATTTCATTACTTTGTAACCCTACAATAATCCTAACCAGACGTCGTGGCTTGGCCGGATATGCCTTGGAATGTGCTGAATCTGCATGCACGTGTGCCGCGATAAACAATGTTACACTTCTAGACTCGGTTCCTCGCTTCAGTTAGTTTCATTAATGACAGTTGTGATCGTTTGGCTGCAGCACCAGACGGGCGAGTAAATTATGGGCTGAGCGCTCAGCGTTTGCTGATTGGCCGATGACGGTCATGTGACCACGCTGAGGCTATCGCTCGGACGATGCTGAAGCAACCAGATCGCGCCGGAATGTAGCGAACGACGGTAAGGTCCGCGCGGGCGGTCTCCCCTTTCATTCCATCTTACTCTTTTCTTTTAAGTCCGCGTACGTTTTAAATTCAATATTGTGTAATTCGTAGTATTTGGTAGAGATTTGATTCAATTTGTAACGTGTTATTTTAAACGATGTAATCATGTAAAGTTTATTAGTTCATTAATAAAGTGTTAGCTGATCCCTATTCGCTTGTTTTAATATTCGTTCTTCCTGCTCCCAACCGCTACGAAGACCAAGAGAGGCTGCTGTGACATCTGGTGTCAGGTGTGGGGTTGACTGCGACAATGTCAACCTAAAGGTAAGTGAAATTAGGGATTTGCTTGATCAAATTATTTTACTTATAATAATTTTCAAAAATCAAAGTTTAGATGTTTCTGGAATAAAATATGTTTAAATCGATTAAAAGTAAAATAAGAATCATTTTCGTTAAATTTTCGTGAAGAAAGAGCCATTTTTCGATTTATTAGGTAATTTTGAAGTAAATAGAATATTTTGTTCGTAAACTTATTTCGCCATTGTACGCGTGATCTAGGATGCATTGGATCTCTTTCCGCCTCCCACAGTGCTGCACTCTGCTATTGTCTTGTCAGAGTTGTCGTGCGTTGTATGTTGCGTTGTGAATGAAGACGCCATATTGGAATATTTTGTTCGGTTGTTGGTGAACAATTGGTAATAGATACTTGATTAAAAGTTGCTAGTATAAGGAGTAAGAAAGAAAGGGAATAAAGAAATAATTATTGTGGGAGGATGGGAAGCAAAACTTCGAAAACTAAAATGTTTTGTACTTGTGAAAATTAAAAGTGGATGCGTTCGAAGTGAACTCAAGATGGCCGCCGGGTTGGCTTGCTGTCAGGTTGTCAGTTCCATCCGCGGGATTTTATCCCGGATAAGGGAATTTTTATACCGCAAGTGGGATAAATTTGGGATTATTTTTAATTTGTTGTCGGGAAATACCGCTGGATCTCAAAGTGATTGGAAAACGGAATTACGTTGTTGATGTGAATATTATGAATCATTAATTGAATATTATGGTGTTAGGCCTACTGCTGTTGAATAATTAGCAGGAGAAATTGAGAGAAAACAAATCGCTGTGAAACTTTTGAGATTGGCTTACTAACATGCATATTTGGCTAGTGGTAATTTACTAACCTAGGCCTAGTCTGTGGTTAAGTTAAGTGGATTGAACTTGAAAGTGAGTTGGATGGTAAAGCTGTGACGTAATTTTCCTGGCGGACGACAAGTGGGAAATTACGCCACCGGTAATAAAACGAGGATCCCAGGATTCGCCCTAGTCTGGTCGCGGGGAGTTTCCCAGGAGTCGATAGTGATTCGGATAGCCTAAATTTGATAGCCCTGGTTGTCAGAGCTCGAGACGAACGTTACGGGTTACTAAACACCCAACTAGAAATCACCACTCTAGCCTAGGGCTTGTGGGGAAATTAATAATGTTGACTTGACTCTGTGGGCAAATATCTAAATGACACACTACTAGCTAACTTAACGAATCAACAAGTAAGCTAAGTAGTCACTCCGCTTACCTACGGAGTTAAGTTGTCAACCTGAAACAAACAAGGTTAGAACAAGAATAGGCCTAACCTAGTCTAACTCCCACAGAGTCCGAATTTACTAAATGATAAGGAAACAAGTTAGCCTAAGTGGTCCAGGTGAGGAACGAACAAAAAACGAAACTAAAAAGGTGAAACTGCTCCTTGAGCCAAAAACGAAAAACTAAAACTTTAACTTCCTCACGTGTTCAACTTAGACCAACTTCGACAGAACTTGTCCAGCAGAAACCTGTCTGCTGGAACAGACTTTGGTACGTTTGGGGAACTTTAAAAAAAGGGTTTTATGAATTAAAAAAGAAAGTCCCCAGACGGATTATGAAACGTAATCGAAAATATATTTCACCAACTGCAGTACTTTACTCAAATTGTTGGTTAAGGCGTATGACTAGGTCTGCGAATCAGGCCTAGCCTAGGAACTTCGACAAAGTTCTGCCGAAACACAAGTGACAAAAGAAAAACCTAAGTTGTCTTAGTTTTACACAACTTACCAAACGAAGTAATACTATTGTAAAACACTTTTAGCGCACTCGATGCACCACGAACTTAATAGAAGGCTAACTTTTAAGCTACGAACGAAAAAACAAAAACTCTTCAAATCGAAGACGAAAAGACGAATTAGCGATTGCGAATCCTCCCAAAAGCCGGGAATACGAATGACCCAAACTTCACAAAACTTCTTCTTACTTCACCTTCGTCTCAGAATAGAGACGAAAGTTAAAACGATTCCTGATTGGTCAACGAGTTACAGAAACCGAAAAAAAACTGGCAGCGAAGGCAGGCGCATGGCAGCTTTAACAGGCTTTATAGCTGCCTCGCTCACAAGGTGGATCAGCTGCTCTTATTCTCTCCCGTAGCCCGCCCTCAGACGCAGTCGAACAACCCAAACAACCAAACTGACACCAACGTCGTCTGCGGTCTTGGTATTTGAGGTTAGGTACGATGTCAGTTTAGTGTCGCGACTAGGCTTACTCAACAGCTTATGTTTAGCTGTTTAAAGTTCGTGGTTTAGCCGTTATTTTACCCCCTACACATTTGAACCGTTACACCCCCTCCACACTTCGGAACGAAAAAAAAGAAAAGCGAGAAAAAAGAAAAAAAGCTGTTGAACTTTCCTGCAGATGACGCATCAGTAGGATCGTGGGCAGGAAAAGTTAACAGAAGCCGATGCCGGACCCCGTTGGTCCGACTGCTCCAGGGTGTTGACGACGAAAAATGGACGAAGTTACAAATGATGTAGACAGTCTGAGGCCGAGTTGCCTCAGAGGTCTAGGCGAAAACGACTCGGGGCGAAAAGTAACCAAAGGTGAAGAGTAGGCGTGGGGTTTACGAAGGTAGGGTAGTACGGCAGGCTCGGGGTCTCGGACGTGCGGCGAAGAGCTTCTCACGATGATACGTCACCCCCCAGACGAGGGTTATCTATGGCTGCTTGTCGGCAGCTTGACGTGGCTGAAAGGACTGACGAACAAACGGATCGCAATACGTTGCTGCGGTTGCGGGATCCTTGCATATTAGTCACGTGCACAGAAAGGTTTTAAGTCTTTCACGTGCACGACGTGCACCGCAGCAGAATCCTCATCTCGTACCTCGAAGAGATTAGCACCTCGACGACCGACCACAATGCAGGGGCCATGATATTTTGGTGCTAATTTCCCTACGATGGCGTCCGCAGCGGAAGACAGGATGTGAAGTCTTCTCATCACCTGCGCGCCAACTTCGTGAGTCACCTCCCTACGACGGAGGTTATAGTATGTCGATTGCCTCTCGTAGGCAGCCTTGAGGTTCTTGTG